ATCGAAAAAAAAGAATTTATACCAAGCAAAAAGCTTAAAGTAATAGTAGAAACTGAAGAATTCAACTTCAAAAAAAATGAAAAAACTGAAATAGAACAAATAAAACAAGAAATAACCAACTTAAAAAAACTAGCCCTTGAACAAAGCGAGAATATAAAATACCTCCTGAAGCAATAAAAATTTACCAAGAAATAAAAAACATACTATACCTCGATAATATCGAACTAAAAAGAAAAATTAAAAAATATCGAGAACATGATTATCTAACAAAATTTAGACAAATAACAACTTGGAGAAACCAAGCTATAACCAAATATATAATATTAGGACAACAATATTTCAAAGAAAAATTCGATAAATTACATAAAGAAAACCTTGCTAACCTCAGAAATAATAATTCACCCTGAAAAATGGAAAATGAAAAACACCTCTAAAAAATAAAGAAATAAACAGTGAAAGGCACCTACAATATACCGTAAACTATTTAGTAAAACTTATTAACTTATTATATTTATACAAATATTTATATTAGCTATATTTCATAACATGTATTATTAATCATATAAATAATTGAAGAACAAATTATAAATATCAAAGTATTACAAAAGTAATAACAGAGAAACTTATAAAAAGGACATGATTTTAACCAAAGCTCGAATATGCCCAAACACACCGATCATAAAAATAAATATCTAAAACATGAGAAAGATATACAATTTGCGAATACTGCAAAACTAATAACCTACCTTGTGATAATAAAATACCTTGCATATTCTGTAAACTTAGTAATAAAAACTGTAAAAGAAACTATCGTACATCGGATAAAACTAAAGTGCTCAGAAAAATATTTGATGCAAAAATAAATCTACTACATACAATTGAAGAAGCAAAATTAATCTTTGAATCACTTAAAAAACAATACAACTTTGATAAACTCTACGAAATACTTGACAATCTACAAGATACCTCTGACAAAAAAGTGAATGCCCGAACACACCACAACAAAAAGAATACACACCACACCATACTCCAAGCACATCTGTATAGAGTGCCATAATCATAAATGAAAGTG